TCAAAATTACACGCGAAAATAGATAGTTTCATTTGTTAACTTGGTTGAGCCAAAATTTAAAGGAATGCGACAGTTAGCCTAATTAAGAACCTCAACGTAGACGATAATCAGTAAGAATATGCGATATTATCAGCTGGTAACATACAAGTACGGCGTCATAAGTCTATCCATCATGTGCCTTCATTTTACATTATTCATAACATAAAATGACTTGGCTGCATTTGATTGCAAAAGGTGAAGTACGACAAGGGTTTGGTTTTCCTAGACAGCCGACATCAAGACATTCAAAGTTCCAGGACAAGTGTAATAGGAATTCATATTGAAATGGTTCAAATATGGGGCGTATGTGTAGCAGATTTGGTCAAAGGAAATTTTACATAAACGAAAAACGTAAAGCACATTCTTCAACATCTTCGACTCTCACAGCTATAATATATTAATTCAGTTGTAGAAAATAGCACTGCCTGCTGCGCAATTCAATATCAACAATGATGTATGCTTTTTTCTTCCTATTGTAAGGAATTACGCTGTGCAAAACGGATATGAAGGTTATTCTTATACAGACATTATACCATTTGAGATTATTGGTCTTTTATGGAATGTGTTTTTCTGAAAATTTTGTTTGGGATCACCGGACTTGTTTTTGAGGAAGCTTGCTTCCTGTGCCACGTGACACCACATGGGTTCTTCCGGTTCCAGTGTAATGAATCTTGGCTAGAGAGTGTATTACGTACTGTTATGTTACATTAACTGATGAGTGTTGAAGTAAGTAAAATCGTTACTCGTAGGCCTCGGTCAATATTATTGCTCAAATAGTTTGGAACAGAGTCCCATACGATGGAAAAGAAGCAATGAATTATGCTATTCTATTTTGCTTTCATAACTTGAAACAGGACTACAGCAAATTATATTTGCGCAGTGCATTCGATGTTTTATACGTTAGTCATTCTTATTTCAGGAAACTGTAACATGGGAACCAAGCCTTTTTTGCGTCACATTTAAGACTGATCTAAACAAATCTTATCGACCTTTTACATCCAAACCTCATTTTTTCTTTGTATTCATGTTAACAGAGATAAAGTTACACGTGCTTCACTAGACCTACATAAAGTAAAATCACTGTTTCTCTTTGTCATACCTTATGTCTATTCTAAAACAATCAATATAGTTATTTGACTTACGAAATGGGCTCTTATCTTAAGAGCAAAACACCTGTTTGGAAAAACAGTAAAAAAGAAATTGAAGTAATGAAATCTAAAAAGCACACATATGTATACAATGTGCAATGTGCAGGGAGCCTGTGGCTAAACGCCTGCAAATTACAAAACGTTTAATTAAGACAGATTAAAGTTACTGACCGCCTTAACTGACAACTTAACTGGCCGGGCACCCAGCCCTTACGATATTTTAGTTATGAAGCATGGGGAGGTGTGATTTTTCCAAAGCTTAAATAGCAAAAAAGGTAACTGAAAGAAAGTTATTCAACAGAGCATATGAACTGAAAAGCAAGTGTTACATTTTAAAAGATATCAGAATGATTACTGAAAAACATATTTATATATATTTATCAAACATATTTTTCATAAGATGCACATAGATCTCCTCCTCCTCCTCCTACTACTACTGCTACTAATACTTCATTGCGTTCAGCTAACTTGGAGGGTCAAATATGGCGACCCACTATAAAGCTTGCCGTCTAATCCGCTAATAGACACTAAATAGATATTCCGTGGGGAAGTTTTTAAGTGGGTGGGCCATATTTGACGCTCGGACTAGTTAGTCCCCTATTCTGAATGGGGCCTTCAAGGCTTGGAGTCTTGACTTCTTTTCTCACGGGCCTTCCCACCTGTTCATCCATATGCTGGTGCTGGTAGGCCTTTCTGGATCACGTGTTACACAGTCGACTTTTACCGCTGAAATGGTATGTTATATTTGCAGTTTGTAAATGTAATTTTATTTACTTATTTCTAGAAATTACAATTTCATTTGGAGTTGTATTCGAAAAAAAAACCCGTCAGCAGCAAGAAAAAAGAGAAAAAAAGGGACATAATTTAACAACAGTAACCAGAAAAGAAAAAAATTAAAATACTGGACAAGGAAAAAAGTTACTCCCACTGTAAAATTCTTGAAGCTTTTAACATCAGGCTACATGAGACAAAACTCAATAAAAATGATGGGACTGAGTTATCCAGCTTCTATCTTCCACTCCTCAGAGAGGGATGAGGGGGGTGGGGGCAAAATATAGGCTGGTAAATCTCAGTTCATTGACAAGTGAAACTTAATTTGTTTATGAATAGACCCTGTTTATTTAGATTGTTTGAGGACGTGAAAGTGGTAATTGCGAGAAGAAATCTGAAAGAATTGCACATAATTGCAACGATATATTAACATTTGAATGCATGTATGAAATGTGGGGTCAAGCTAGCTTGAAGGTGAGTTAGTTCTGAGATACGGGATACGTAAAAAATTATATTAATACTTTACCAGATAAGTTAAAGATTCTGTAAGCCCCGTCAGAAAATTAAGCAAGTAGCTGGATCGTGTATTCACAAGGAGGGTATAGTTATTCATATGAGAAAGGAGCATTTGTTCATAGCTGATCGTTTACGTATACATAGGTTGTCAAGAAAAGTGAGGAAAGTGAAGTCTAACGAGGGTAAATTGAAAATGCAAAGTAACCGATTGTTAGTGACGAGAAATGACAGGTACGAAAGCTATCATTTCTGAAGATTTGTTTCATTATTACCCTGGCCAGAGTATAAGACCCCATTCCCAGAGATTAGATCGATCCACCTAGATCGACCTAACTCCCTGGGGGTTCACGCTAAATAGCTGTCAGCCGAGCGGGCACAAAAGTTATTTACCCCCTTACAGCTTGTAGTAGGCGGGACGGACATTCAAGCCGGATTATCTGACAGTAATCTAGTGAGACTCCCCACGGGGATAGATCGATCTAAAATCTATGGGAATGCACCCTAAGAGACAGAAGCAGTGGCGATTTACGTGGCTAAAGGCGACAAAGGCATTGCGACCACACCGAGAAATAGATAGAGATATCTATCTATTTAGACTTCACTACATGTACTAGGCGATAAATGTGGAAGGGGACGATTAAACAGGCGGCGTAGGTGGTGAAAAGATACCAACAAGTAATGCTTTCTTTATTCGAGAATGGGTTAGCCGTACTGCTTGCCGAAGTAAGGGCAGATTTCAAATGTACTGTCAGATAATTTTACCATGCAAAATGTCTTTTTATTGATTGCTGTCCAATAATAGTCGATCACGAATCTGTTGCATGTTGTATACAATAACATTTATGTTATCACATAACAACCATTTCGTGTTTGTGGAAAGCCCAGACATACACATATCCTTGTGTCAGCTGTACTAACGCATCTGTAGTGTTAGATAAATAAGTCACTTTCCGAATACATTGTTATGCTTATGTTTTTCACCATAATTGGCCTTGTGTTTAATCTGAAGCCACTCGATCAGATAATTGTGGTCAACGGTCTTAAAGCCTGACAAGTGACTGCGAAATGAAGGGATATTCGAGAAGAGCCCAAGTTTTGTCGCGCCGGAAATTAAATAGAGAGAAGGCCTTGTTAGGCTACTTTAAGCAGGTGTGTTGATCTAGGTAAATGTAATGCTGGAACGTACTTAAGCTCTGATAAACTCCCAGTAGGTTAAGCGAACATAATTTAGTCACCAAAGTCTTCTGCTATATGTATGTAGGTGTTGTCTCTTTCTGCTGCCAGCAAGTCGATTTTACATACAGGAATATTTACAGTGTGCAGTGTACTGTATATTGCGTTTGGATGTAAGGTTCCATTCAGAACAGATAATCCGCGGACTAAATATTGTCAGTCCCACTTAAAAGCAAGCCGCCTAATTCCCTGGTGGCCTCCCCGACTCCACACGCGCCATTAAACGAATGAAATTTCGGCTCCGAGGTTAATTGCTAGGCCCTTGCAATGATGGCGTGTGTGAAGGCGGGGAGACCATTAGATGATTAGTCGACATTGCTTTAAAGTGAGTCGGCCATATTTGATCCACGATTTGTTAGTCCGCGGATCAACTTGCTCTGAATGCGCTCTTAGGCTAACCATTTATTCTAGCATTTGTATATATGCATCTGTATCTAGTTTGAAAGCATTGTGTCGTCATCCCTGGGGACACCGTGATTGGCTGGTCACTGTATGGCTACAGATGTTAAAAGCACCTGAAACGATATTCTACATACGGACGACTAATGTAAACTTTAACTTTAACTTAATTTACTGTACGGCGTGTACACTTATTTTCACATTTTGTTGCGGGATTTTCAAACTGACACAACGATGCTACACGTATGTTTGATGATAAACATTGACATGTATGTATGTGTGTATCTTTGTGTTGTGTTTGTTAAATGTTATTTTGAGAGTACTTGAAAGATTAAGCGATGTAATTTCCCAGGGATACCTTGCAATACTTCTGGTTTAGTTGTCTATAAATTGATTTATTTTAATCCGTCGAGTATTTACAGCATATTTCTTAACGCTTCAATCTTGAAGCCTTACTACAGAGTTCTCAATGTAACCGTTGGCGCTTGTTGATTTTGCGGTGAAATATATTCAGAAAAACTGTACATACTGTCGAATTGCGATTGTAATTAAACTAGTTGCTAGTGGCTATTTTGTCTGGAGTAAAACATCCAACGTGCAAAGAGACATTCAAGGTGTAAATCAATTATTGATACATGTATATGAATTTTCGACTACGTATGAACTGGCATGGGCTGGGAAAAAGTTTATTAATACTGAATTTGATGTCAGTTTATGAGTGTATGCATCTCTTCGATCGACAGATCCTCATAGTGGATAATTGTAAGCGGTACATTAAATGGCACTCAAACGCTCAATTCTGATTTATCATTAGATATCAAATTTGGTTCAAGCATCGTGAATATCGTACAGCGTATTCATCTTAACATATTAACGTCTTCCTCTTTCTTGCAGAGGCCTTCTGAAGAGGAATGGTCCATGGCGATGTGATACAGAAAACACTTGATTTCGACGGCAAGGACTCCTGTCTTACACGTGGCGCAGTGCGTCTGGGGTTTTCAAGCGGCATATAGGAAATTAACCCTAATTGAGACAAATGGTACAAAAAGAGAGAAAAAAAGAAGTGAGATTAGCGCATTAAGCAACGTTATTGATTTGCGTCGGCTGCCGAGAATAAAAAGAGACGGATTGTATGATTGAGTCTTTTGATCTCCAGCGAGAAAGCCAGAGACAATAGAAATTAACCTTTGCGTGTTAAAACTGCACGGAAACGTTTGCTATCATATTACAATCAAAAATAAAATAAAATAAAGCAAGAAAAAGGTCGTGTCGAAGGAGCTAATATGACTACTCTGAACATTTCAGTTTATGGGACTTTACACCTTAGAAAAATAGCATGCGATGCTCTGCCAAGGAACCCCTTCTCAGTAGAGGAATACGTTTTGTTCGCACTTTTGGCCTTTTTCTGCGTGACAGGTGTTGTAGGCAACGCCTTGGTTTTTGTTGTGTACTTCAAGAAGCGGGATCGCCAAACATCTACGCTTTTCATCCTTACCCTGGCAGGAACCGATTTCATAACCTGCATAGCAAATATCCCTTTCACGCTGGTCATAGAGTACTACAGCTCTTACATTGAATATGATGTACTGTGCAAACTTTACAAATTTCTTATGACGTCCTCTGTCCCCTTCTCGGCATTCATCATGTCCGCCATCGCCGTTGACCGCTACCTTTGTATTTGCCATCCTCTGGCACATATAATGACACTGGCCAGGGCCAAAATGATCATTGCCGGACTCGTTTTATTGGCATGCATTGCAGGATTGGTAGTCAGCCTGTGTTATGGGGTTTACCAGGCATGTTCTGTCCCAAGCACAACCAATGTTACTAATGGCACTGCGTTTTTTCAAACTTTTGACACGTCTGTGTTCAATACATCGGATGCTCACCTACGTCCAACAAGTGGTTTGCTCGATACTCTTACTCTGACATGGAACAAACTTCTTCAGACATCCGAGCGCCGAGAAGAAGTCGAAGAAATCAAATACACCGGCTACTGCATATCCAACACTCTGCTTCTCGGAGATGAGGTGCGGACAATTTACAAGTATTTCCACCTTGGCCTTTATCTCACATCGCTTGTGATAGTCCTCGTCCTATACTCACTTTTATACATGTCGGTCATCGAACGGCGACGAAAGAGACGGCGGCAGAGAACAGAGGTGGTTCCCAGTCGCCTCACTGCTACCACCAACGGTAACAATGGGACATCTACGACCGTGCTTACTACGACAGAAGAAACAGAAATGAATTCCATCCATTGTGGGAACGGAGAAAAGATTGAATTTATCCCGAAAGTCCAACGACCCATCCTACAGCGAAGACAAACTCTCGAAAAGTCGCGAGACAGAGCAGCAAATTTAAAAACTGCCGCCATGTTGTTTGTCGTGGCGGTGGTGTTTCTAATCAGTTTTTTGCCAGGAATTCTTATAACCGCAAACATTATTGAAATACCTGATTCAAATTTGGCGAAAATATTTTTCTACTTTTTCTTTATAAACCACGTTACTAATCCTGTCATCTATTCGTTTATGAACCAAAATTTTCGAGACGACATGAGGAAAATACTAGATTGTTAAACGAATGGTGAGAAACGAATATGACTATCATTAATCAGGTTATCGTGTTTGAATACGTTAATAAAAAGTAGGATTAACCATGGCCCTTGCATTCATACTCCATCAGTTTCTATAAGTCGCTTACTTTCGTTTCCCAAAAAATAGTAGATATTACGGTCGATACTGAAGTAGAGAAAGCCTGCTTCTAAAAGAGTCTTAAAGATGAATTACCAGACAAGTCGACCTTTGTTTTCGATTGATCTTACTATGGAACTGACCTTTTCTTATCTTGCATATGAGCTCAAAAGTTTCCCCATGTACATTCTAAAGGGTAAGGTTTAATTGACGCAGTGTTGCTGTTGCTGAGACAACATCCGTTTAGCTAGACGTCCCTGTGCTGAATGTAAGGTACAAAGAGAAAATGTTAAACACAAGTACAAAATTAAAAAAAAAAAACTCTTGTTGAACTCACTGAGGACAAGTAATACTTTTGATCATTTAAAGTTTTTTTTGCAGAGTAATGGCAAGGCTCATTGGTTGGATATTCTGAAAATATACCGTTTACTCGAGATATATCCGCAAGACGAGTTTTTCGCAGGAAAATGTTACATTGTGCATCTTAAAAGGACAAAGAGGCTAAAGGACAAACGTGTAAGGTACTGGAATCTGTCGTATTCCATAACCTTATTGTGGTCTACTGGTATATTCCACAAGGTTATCTCATAAATATTACAACGCTTTAATTGATATACATGTATTTACTTGTTGATGCTGCATTTGCCAATACATGATGGATGGGCTAATAAAAGGAGTTTTACCATTCCTCGAGACAATAGTTAAATTTAATAGTTAAATAAGTATCTGTCCATGTAAAAGTTGATAACATGTAATGTTATCGCCTTGCTTCTATTTAGTACATTGTTTTTATCATATACATTATTAGAGGCGATGGAGGTTGCTGGTAAGTTACCGTAAATATGAAGTTTATGTCTAATAAAGTGAACATCTTTCATTTCGACTTTCCCGTGTGTTTATTAGGTAGTAAATAATGCACTGCCCACAAGCACGATATACACGGTAGCATGCTACACATGCTATCATGTATATAACCATTCATACATGTTATCGTGTATATAGGGCTAGGGTTAACAGTGTATTATTTGTCATACATACATACAAAGGGAGATCATACATGTTTCCCCACACAAAACCCCCTAATTTTGAATAGAATATGCTGATTTCACTGCACTGATATTACCGCGCATAGGGGCATGTTTTACTTTTTAGTTTTTAGCGCCGGGAGTATGTGGTTATAATCAAGCTGATCCTCTTCAATCATTGTTTAGTTCTTTACATGACATTTCTGTTGTTTTACGAGTTCGAAGTTAATCTAGTCCTCTCTTAAACTGCGGCATAGAGGCGGTAGACGGCTATTAAACAGCCTCGCCACAATTTATTCAATTTAGGAAAGCTCCTGAGAACATCATTTAGTACATCATATACACGTCCCTTATGCACAAAGGTAATTTGCCTATTCTGTCTACTACGGCTCGTTTTACGGCAACATGAAATCTCTGTTTACTGCAAAAAAAAAAAAAAAAAAAAAAAAAAAAGAGAGAGAGAGAGAGAAAAAACAATTATGGTTCACACTTGTAGGTCTACAGATACCTAGATAGGCACGTAAAGACAATATATGCTCGAAAGCATGCTTTTATCAACAAATTCATTAGCAAACAAACACCCCCTCCCCCCCCAAAAAAAAAAACAACAACAAAATAATATAAAATAGAATAAAATTAAATTAAATTAAAAATACACATCAATCTTTAACTGCACAACTCTTGTACAGTTTTAGTGTTATTTATATGGCGGTGCAGAGTGCGCACTGTTCAACTCGGAATTTTTTTCTTGACATTTGAGGAGAATACCTACTTGTACCCTCTACCAGAGCCACCAATTGATTTTCACTGTATATTCACAGATAATTACTTTTCTGTGCAGTAAGGATTGTGTCGTGAATTAGCCCGAGACGGCTGTGTATATTTAGTGAAAAACCAATCTGTGGCACTGGTAGAGAGTAGAGAATCCCCATAATAAAGAATCTAATTGGTATGAGTTTCATACATGATGGATGTTTGTTTTCTTCTTTTCGATCTGAACTTCTTTCTTTATACTTTAGGTATATAGTTTATGGCTTTATAGTTTTAATTATCCTTGGCACTTAAAATAACGTCATATCAAACTAACACATCAATATGGGATGTTGAATTCCTGGGATCCATTCCGACTGAATGAACCAAAAGACGCCCTTCAAGACGGGGTGCCGTTACATGAAGGCATTACCACTAACTACATGTACCCGTTTGAATGAAATCTTCCAAAGACGAAAATCACGATTCAGTTATTTCATTTCTAAATGTTAAATGTTCAATCAATTAAGCTACATGTATCTCCACACTTTTATGACAACAAGTTTACTATTGGGGATATATGGCATCGCGTGTTTCTTTCGCCTGATTATCAACTGGATCAAATGATCTTACCTGAAATTCATTAATCCGAAGTATTAAAGAATGTGTATACATGCCAAATAAGCGGCTTAGAAGAAATTCCACGATATAGTCGGCCAGTATATCGAGTTATTTTCTTTAAACAAGTGTTTATACAGGATCAGTGTTGTTATCTAATAAAATTCCTCATATAATTACCACACGAAATGCTATATTAAAAAAAGTGGAAAGTACCAGTAAGCGTGTAGCGATATGGATGAAATATTTGCAAAACAAGGTAGAAGTCCTTGCTGTAATAATGTCTTTGTTCCACTTTCCCAACTGAAGTGTTTTCGATAGCCATTGTTGTCAACGCGTGCAAATCGAATTCTAATGAAGATTTCTAAATGTCACTGATGTGGACTGATGCTGTTTTTGATTAGGTCATGCCTGTCCAGATAACTTTAACCGAGCTCTGCCGTCAAGTCGTTGATTGGCAAGATCAGATTTAAACGAAACTGTTTTTTTTCCTCTTTTATTGTTAAAATCCCCTCCTTTGTTTGTGTCAGAGAATCATGATCACTATTCACTGTTGACGCTCCTTTGCCTGATCACTTATCAAATTTTTCATTAAGGAGATAGATAAATAAATAAATAATTGAACAAATAAACAAAACAAAATATAATATAATATATAAATAATAAATAATGTAAAATAAAATAAAATAAAATACGCTGTTGCTCAAAATGGATGTCTCACCCTCTAGAATTTCGGTTTTTAATAATGTTACAGGTTTTAAATCTGTGTTTATGTTGATATTTTGGATTCTTTCTTCCCCACAGTAAACAATGACCGTTTGACATTACCAATGCCAAATATGAGCACATGTCGACGGATTTGCCGCTCTGACAAGTTAAGGGTGTGAGGGGTGTGCGAATAGATGTTTTTGTTTTGATATAAAATGGAATCTTCAAGCATTACCCTGGATCTTGTAGTAGTTGAGATCTAATATCCAAAAAACTATAGCTGAAGCCATGCCCAGTGCCAGGACCGACTGACATTGGTCTTAGCTAGGGACCAGATAGTTGTATTCCAAATGGGAATCAGGAAACCCGGCATTTCCAGGCGAACTGTTATTAGAGTACACCAGGGGAGGGGAGAGCTACGACCGACAGTGTAGCCAAATACACAGGCCAACTCCATGCCTCTGTCGCCCGGTGTCCTCCATGATAAGGAGTCCGCTTCCTATTCATTTGTACAGATAAGCCTAGCCCTAGATTTTGACCCACTTAGGTCAGGCTAACCCTAACCATTATAACCGAATGGAGGGCGGACTTTCAGTTACACGGACCCTCAATTTCGATATACCTGACCGCCCGTACCATCGTCAACATTGCCAGAAGAACCCGCACCTAATCTACCATTGCCATTGCTACAAAACACGAGCTCATCAGTTGCTTCGTCTTTCCCTCCGAACTGTGAACCGGATACTCGTCCAACATAGTTTTAAGAGAAGAAGGACGATTAAGAAGCCGAACACGTGGAGAGGATGCGTAGAACAGAAACCGAACAGTCAACAATGTGATCGTCGCAGCTGAATCCAGATCCCTACTCTACCAACGCCAAAATCATTTGATCCCAGTTGCAAGTGCAATCTTCCAGGACAACTCTCGTTTACGGCATGAAGATGCTATCCCCAATCTGCGAATGCTAGATTCTGCTCATGGACCAACACTCCAAATGTCCAGAAATAAACCCAGATGGGACGAGTTGGCGAAAGTTGTATGCAGGGGAAACCCATAACCAGTAAAACAGGCTACAGTCGAGACAAGATTTGACCCAAGAGTAGAGTGGAATCCTCCAGCAAAGATTGATGGCACTATAGTGAACAGTATGCCCAGTGGCGTATTGTAGGGTATTTATCGTGCACATGTGGGTCACACCCGCTATTGATATTAATGATTGTATTATTCTTACAATCAATAAAGAAATGTAAGAGCAATTATGAAACTGGTTGTAACATTCCATTGAGAATTAGGAGCTTTTATGTTTTTATATAGTCTGTAATCAAAGGGCTTTTTTTTCAGGGGCCATATTGAAAACCCTATTTTAAATGCAGGGAGTGTGCAGTATAGTCGTGTTTGTTTTTTCTTTTGCATGTTTATTTTGTGTCTGCAATGGTACAACTGAACATTACAGAAAATTTGACATCTGTTGCAAAATCCATATATTTTATTGTGCGTGACAATAATTTTGAGCAACAGCTTATATATAAAACATAATAAAATAAAAGCACAGTCAATTACGAAGCCAATCTTCATTCGTAACCACAATTTGAGGGAAATGTACAGTATGGATAGAGTTAATGGGTCGTGTACTCTATTTTTGTCGATCATTTTGCAACGATCGTGTGTTTCCTGTAACGATGATGTCAAATGAAAAATCGTTTATCTAAACATGTCGTCTTGAGTTATTGATCTTGCTGTACAAGAAATGTCACACGCATTACCCTGTTTCTGTATATGCCATCTTTGACGTTGGGTTGAATGCTATACCAGTAGGTATATTTAAATCTATCAAACAATGCTATTGTTTCTCAATTTCTCTCAATCTATTCATTTTATGCCCCCACCCATCAAATGTCATTTATACCCGTTATAAATGTACCCACCGGTTTTTTTTTACCTTCTGAAGCTATCGATCACAACACACATTAAACAAACTTTAAAATTTCAAAAAAAGTTACATTGTCTTGTCTCCATTTCGTCTGTATTTTTGCTTTTGGATACTCGTGTTCTACATGTATGCAATTTAACCCCTTTCTTATTTCCTTATCTTGTCACCCTGGGTTTATTCTCTAATACTGAAAGAATAGAACACAATGACAATGTCATTCATTTTATTAATTCTTATTTTGTAGGTATAAGCACTTGCTAGATTGAGGAAAGTTGTTGTAATATATCTGTAGAAGATGCAAGTGAAAGATAGAATGAAAATATGGCAATTTTTATAAAAAATGGTTTTTGCCTGTGGTACTTCTCCTTTAAAATAAACTGTTTGCAAATTAACCTGAATTTTCCAGTTAAGAAGAGAATTGATTCAACTTTCAACACACACCACATGGACCTACAGGTTTCTTGAATGGCATCGATAGCCTCAATATACCCACTATGCTTACGTCACAGTGTTGCGTAGTTATTTATTGGCTGTTGCATGAAAATACGGTATGTAGCAGC